GTTCATTTTACACTTCCTATACCTTTCGTGACTTATATAATATCTTTTCTTTGTACGAAAACGAGATTTTTCTCTCTTGTATACGTATCACTACATTAGTGGAGTGAAAGAACAAACGCGTAACAGCAACAAAGCCGTGGCACGAGGACGCTAACTGAGAAAATGAAAATGCGCTAGATACTAATTGGCGGGACCTGCGAATTGCAAATAAATTGGGTTTGCGCCGATAGCTTTGTAGAGAAGTGCATTTCAAACAACTGATATACGGCGTTCATTTGGGGAGCATTTGAAGCTCCAAGTATACGCGATGTTTTTTTCGATTTCTTTGTTTGCAGATAAATATTTCACACATGACCGTAATTCACCGTTCTGTTGGGCATCGTTTTCCTCTTCCACATTGCTATCGTTACGCTTAGATTAGAGTCATTCAAGAGCATCTTTCCTTCCCTTTGTCACCGCGCAATACACTAGCCAATCACTGTTCTACATTCTAGGCAGCACAGCTTCAAGAAAACGCCGGTAGGGCGCAGCAATTTATGATCAACACTGTCTCTTCGCTATGGTTTTGTGAGCCAACAAGCTCACGTTGGCTGACCACAAAAAGGAAATGGTTCGAACGGCACACAGGCATTGATTCCGCTTCTTTTATGCTCGAGGAACGGAAATTTGTCGCGTCTACCGTGCTTTACGCGATTACTCTAGACATTTGCAAGATGCCAGTATAGACTTCTCTGCAAAAATTATAAGTCGTGTGACTTCTTCACGTCGCGAGACCTTAATAGATGAGGTCAAACATGCCTACACTACCTAAAGCTGAACGTCACGTGAACTGGCTATTTCAAAGGCAAGATAAACTCCTCTGACTCACCAAAATAGGTTGGTTAAAATACCTCAAAAAATCTACGTGTTTTGTATGACAGCAGCCTTACGCACCAATGAAATACTCTCTGAAGGCGACATAACACTCTCAACAAGACATAAGTTCAAAACTATGCCATATTTTCGACCAATGGCAGAGAAACACCTGTTTACAGTCTACCATAAGGCGGTGTTGAATTTCTAGCTGGCCAGCTGCCATACCGAACATTTGTAAATATTGTAAATTATGTGTGGACTCGTGAGTATGGATGTATGTGCGGCTATGCATTTTTCAGTGCGTAAATCCTAACCATCACCTAGCACCCGCTGTAGTATGTCAGCCGAATAGCCAAGCAAGAGCGCCAAAACTTCAATAAACAGTGTTTGTCTATCAGCTCTTCCTTGCTGTTTCTTGCTTGCTGTCTATCAGCTCTTGCTTGCGTGTTTTAGGCATGCAGCCCAATTTTAAGCTGTTGCGCTTACAGACTCACAATGCTTAGTTCAAAAAGTTTTTTTTTCTTGAGAATACATCTGGTGGCCTTTAGGTTCGCCCTAAGAAGGAAACAATTTTTATCCCAGAAAAAAAAAACTTCAAAACAAGACTGTTTCACAGGCCTCTAGTCTATAGCTGTGAGTCGCATCAGAAATACTTTGGCTAATATGGCGATACACAAGTATCCACCCTGCAAGAAACTCTCATCGATGTTCCTGCCATACGCTGTCCGTGTCTCACAGTAGTGCGGCAAATAAAAACAATAAAGTTCTACAAAAGATAGTGTTCCCGCCCCCACTTGTACACAGCTACTGACTTATGCGTCTCCCTGATTGAGGTCACCACGGCAGCTCCTGCGAATCAGGTAAAATTCACTGCTTACCTAGGAGCACGGATTTTTTAAAAGACAGTGCCTAGGCGGGAGCCCCTGAGCTTGTTCTCTTAGATTCGATGCCACCTCGTTCTTTAGATTCGAAAAATATAATGGTTTTCCTAAATCATCCGTTAGCCTACGCAATCTGGCATTTGCCCGCAGTTAACATTCAGCCAACGCTAGGCCTCATTTAAAAACAACAATTTTTCCCTACCATTTGACCAAGCTTCATGGCATGCGTATTTCTGGTGCCTATAGTGTCTGCCATGACAAGGCACTACTTTGCGACTGACTTTTTCAGGGTGGTGGAAGTTTCTTAGCAAAGCCAGGATGCCACAACGCCATTCACGAGTTGTTGGATGTGGATCTGTGAAACATGTGCTCTTGCAGATTAGTTGTAGGCTTTACCACAGTCTACATACGCCTGTGGTAGTGCCCACATTACAGGACGTATCTGCGTTGCGGAGGGCTTAATATTTTAAAACCAATAGAAGTTTCCCGAAAGCAATCTTTGTACCACGAAACATGTAAATGACTAGTGCAATGGAACTGCGGCTCCGTTGAAGTCCCTCTGCTCCGGGACAGAGAGAGCACGGTTAAGGATGGTCTTTCCCATCCGGGCTTTCGTCCCTAGTGCGCGCAGCGTGGGTGATTTGTGTTTCGCCGTTATGCTGAAGCATGCCACGCAGTGCTAAAAACTTCTCGCGCGCGGCCTGGATAAGATGGTGCAATGCAACCAGCAGCGCAGCGCAATGCGCATCTGATAGGACTTGGCCAAGAAAAAGATGACCTGCTTACACAAAGTGTTTGATGAAGAATGGGTGAAGCTCGGTCCTAAGGTTTCTAAAGTCTGTAGTGAAATCACCGATTGTATAAAGGATTTGTGTTTGTAGTTTTATATTTCTTTGTGACTATTTTGACTGTTTTTGTCTAGGGTATACATTTTAAAGCAAAAGCATGATATGGCTAAGAGTAATGAAAATCGATTTGGCATTGGTGTCACGAGTGGTCTCTATTGGCTGTGCTATAATAAGTCGTTCGCAGCATCGTACAAAAGCAGACGTGCTACTTGCTCCTTTGTGAGCGGCGTCATTCATTCTACAACAGACAAGGCGCCTAGCACGCGCACGTGAGTTTCTACTGAGTACTTCCACATGGGTAAGCCACGAACAACTCATCATCAGCGACGACAGTGGAAACGTGAAAGAGCTCGCATTCGAAGGGTCGATGCTGCAGTCCGCGCACAGAAACAAGACAGGGAGGCCGAGTGTCGAAAGCAACTGCATACCGATGATCCAGCAGCCTTTCAAGCCGTGCTATTTCGCGAACAGCAATGCAACCGCCGGTGGCTGGCGGATTCTGCAAACGACGCGGCCGACTTGGCTCGTGATGTCAAGCGCTTCCAACAACGTCACGCAGAACAAGCCACGTTCCGCGTGCAACGGCGTCAGCGGAATGATTGCCCGAAAGTGGTCGCTTATGCAAGCGCCCGCTTTCAGCAGAGTTTTTTTCAGCAGCACTTCGGCTTCGGCTGCGACGTCTGTGACCACCTGTGGTTCGAGAACAACCAGCGCAATTAACAGATTGTGAGACACCTATAACCACTGATTGGACTCCTCCATGAGCGTGATCATGCGAGGCTCAATGTGCGGCATATGAAATCAACAATGTGGCAAACCCAAGCTTAACGCGTGTCTGACCTCATTAGGAAGCACGCACATAAAACCAATAGCTTTGAAAGGCTTCATTACAACATCTGTTTCAAAACCACTACCTAAGACGGCCGCGTGCTTGTGCTTTCGCTGGTTAACCAATATTACTGAATGCTCAGGAGGTGATTTTTTATTTAACTTGCATGTAAGCAAGTTCCGGCTATAGCGACGGTTTTGTAACTACCATGACAGAGGACAGTCAGCGTTGGTGTCCATGAGAAGGCTACATCCTAAGTTCCATAGCGTGTCTGTTGAAGTCACTGGCCAGTTCATCTGTTTGTTTTATGTGTTGTGTTTACAGTCATGATTCATGTTATTACATAAAGTTTTTTTCTCTCACTATAATGAATGTCCCCTAGCCGGACACCGCAGGTGGACAACGCTCGGCCGTAAGGTTTTTCGTCCGCGAAAACACATTCATAAGGCTCCAGGTGTGAGCCAGAGAAATGCGATAACGTTCTCGGCTCTTAACAATCATGAGCCATGCTGCCGAACTACTGCTTTGGTGTCCTTGTGTACTGTTACTACAAAATGAAGTGGCAGTGAGTCAGAAAGGGGGAACCTAAATCAACCAGTGGTTTCACTGGTCAGCCCACTGACGAAATTGAAATGACTTGTCTTCATTACTTGAATATTGGTTATTTAGGATACCAATCGCATGTAGAGATTTCATATGCTCATCTTCCAGGAGGCATTACACCAGCACACTATTTCTGAATGTGCATTATATCAGGCTCACCACGTAATCATGTGATCACAAAAAGCTTCGGAACATTACGTTCGTTTGAGGAAGCTCTTCGTTGTCTTGCAATAGTTCTCAACTACGCACTGTAAGTCGTTGCCTTACTTTCTTCTCGAATCGTAAGAAAACACTTGACTGTCTCACTTTTTTGTTTCGCCATTTCTCATGAACCCTTCCTAAACGTCAATGAACGTTGTTAGGTGCAGAATACGTGGAAACAACATTTCATTTGAGCACACCCTCTCTATGTATTGAAGCCAAGTGGTACAAACCCTTTCAAAGAGAACGTTGTTTAAGTGACTTCTACACACGTAGAGTGTCTTTCCCTCAATTATCTCGGAAGACATGGTCAGTTCTCAATTATGCATTTAGGTCCGAGTGCATGTGGAGAAGCAGGAAGTAAATTCCTTAACACGTAGTCTACCAGGGCAGTCTCAACAGATGTTTCGCTATGGTCAGAAACATAGGCTAGAAGTAGAACGAGAATAACTAGGTCGAGAGAATTTAACAGATAAAGATATCTGGAGCTTTTGTGATGCCTTAAATATAGGTGCAGTTTTTGCCGTTATAAGCAGATTTTGCTTTGTTTTACCATTTGTTGTATCGAGCTCGAGCTCACCATGACTGCCCGTATATACAGGCCCCGTTTCCTACACTTCGGGCCATGGAGATGAAAAACACGAAATTTTTATGGCAAACATTAAGCTACGTTCGAGAGTAATCTTAAGCAAATGTCATTTGTTACTTACTCTCAGCAATTCAACTTGACTGCAATTTTCAGGTTTGTTCAACGTCACTTTTTTTTCTTTTATATACGACTGCATGGCGGTGTTCTCTGACGTGGCGGGCTATGGAGTGAGGGTCTCCCCGTTGGGATCCTCAGTGCCACTCTGTGGTGAAATGGAGAAACTTCATTTAATTTTTCACTTCATTTCATAATATTGAAAGAAATTGATGATTTTCGAGAGAAATTGATGTTTCGGAAAATTGATCAATTTTCTGAAACAGTGTTCGCATGCTCGTGGGCTCAGGGTCACCCTAGGTCCGAGGGCCGCTGGTTCCAGGATTCCTCTGGCCGCAATCACCTTCCGCGCCCTGACGACAAGTCCTCGTTGGTCGTCTAAGTCACATGCGGCAATCTTGCCCTCAACACACGCTGTGCAAAACTTCTCTTTGCAGTTATTATTTTTTGTTGTAATGTTCTGTTTTAATGTGCCCCGTAGTGAAAAGCATGATTCGCAGCCGCTTGTGTACCCCGTATTCAATGCACTAACATCCGGTTTGTTAGCTGTGGTACATCAATCCACGGTCCACTAAAATGTTGCTTTGTTGGGTGAAAATTCTTGTAGAGCCATTCATAAATTTCTGCAGTAGTCTTTGCCGCCATTGGTGTACAGCGCAGTGTGTAGAGCATCTGAGTAATAAAGAATTTTCTACAGATAGCGCATCCTGCATTGCCAACTGTCGTGTCTCAGCAACGTATACTATAGAGTCCACACGGAAGAGTCTTCAGAGCCCACTAAATTAAGGAGTAGAACGCCAGCTGTAATAACAGTCGTTGCCGTCTTGTTCATGCGTTGATACGACGGTGCCCCTACTGAAGAGTAATGTATAGAGTATTGGTTCGTGCTATTGACTAGGCTTTCTTTTGGATCTCCAGAATAGCGTGACCAGAGAAACTTCTGAGCGTAATCTACTCTTTTCGAGGTTTGTGCAGTTTAGATTGCATGTCTTTATCTTAGAGCACAGCTCCAAGGCACCCGTTCCTGTGTCGAGCAGCATCGTCGTTACCGTTGCTGAGGCCATTGGTGGAGTAAGTAAAAGACGTATTGAAATTAAACAAAAAATTTCTCAAGACCAAATGGAATTTCTTTCCTGACCTTTCGCAGGACGTTCGAGTGTTCCCCACAAGGCTATGCAAGTTCATTTTTTTTTTCTCCTTTTATTATTGAGTGCTTGAAACTCAATTTAAAACAAGCTATACAAGCGTCATGCAGGGCGAGAAATGGCGTTCACCTTTGTAATACAGCGTGGCAGAAAAGTAAAATAACAACCCGACATCACACAATGCTAACTGCGCAGCGAGTGTGTGCTTTAATGCTTGCCACGAAGTGGAACGTGCTCAGCCAAAATTCTTCATATTCATAAGCACATGCAGAATAAAAAAAGTGCACCGAATACCTTACAGATTGGTTGAAGGCATGCTCCTTACCAAACAAAAAAAGACGAATAATGCCGTAGGCGCTACCATACTTCACAATAACTGTGTTCTATGGTGTAGTGAGTTCCTTGGGGAAAGCCGAAACCTCAAAGAAAGTTGGTTTATTCCACACACGAACCTGCAGTCGAAGCTTTCATTAGGATGTATGGTTATTATCTGGAATTTTTTCCCTGAAATTTGGTATAATCTCTTGCAGAAATGCGGGCCTACTTTCAAACACACACACACACACACACACACAAAGACACGCACGCATGCACACGCACGCACGCACACACAGGCACAACTTGTCTGTCATGAGTAAAGGGCACATGTAAGTGGGTAAGCGAAAAAAAGAGAAGACACAAACGTAACTCAATTCTTCGCCTTAGGAAATATTTAGTGTCAGCAGGCCTGTGCATATATAATTTTCAGTTAAGATAGTTTCAAGTTAGCACTGCGCTTTCATTGTTATCAAAACTCCTAAATCAGGCTGTGGGCGATGGTAAATAGCGTAAACACCTAGTAAAAATGACCCAGTAGAGTGCTATTTAATGCTCGTGGTTTGTCAATAACCAGCCGCCATCGTTCCTTCTTCTCTTTCTTTTCTTTTTTTCTTGATTACTTGGTAAGGCCATACTTAATTTCGGGCACGCCTTCTAGGTCTGGGGTCATTTCACCGGCAGCTCTCTTAATGGCCACGTAATTAGCCGAGCCCCAGCCTTAGAAAATTTATTCTATTCTTTTTTCAGTCATATGGATATTTACTTTGTAGAAACTCCCACGCCGGATGTGATAAATTGCAGTGAACTCTTTGTAAGTTTGAAAGCACTTCAAACAACTTGCGGTGAATTGTTGTTGCAAAAGAAGGGGACGTGAGTGAGGGCCAGTAACTTTGCACCAGTGATTCATGATTGGCTCAGAAAGTGACTTTGATTTCTTTGATTGAAAACTTCTTCAGCACTTCTGTAACTTTAAGCAACTATTTTGTAAAATATTCGGTTCGTGTGCTGCGGGCTTATTCGGATGTTTCTTTTATGACTATCAAATTAAAGGGGGGAAAACTGTGTGGCGTTGCTCGTTCACGGTTTGTATGTTGTCGTGTAAGTTTCATTAGGCTAGCTGAGTCATCGTGTCATAGACCGACTAAGCTTCAGTCATAATGATGTCTATTAAGTGCATGTGCGTCTGAGAATAAGCCGACATTGTTGGGCCATTTGTAATGAACCTTTACCGGAGTACGTCCCAGCGTGACGTCATTGAGGCGGTGGTTGGCAAAACAGCCCTGCTGGTGGCTGAGCGTGGTACAGTAGCACAGTGTTTGGGCGAGTTTTCCTTTCTTTTATTATGCCTAAACTTCATGTCACAGTGGCAACATTAGCCATGTAGGGCCCCGCTGTGGTGGTGTAGTGGCTAAGGTACTCGGCTGCTGACCCGTGTGTCACGGGATCGAATCCCGGCTGCGGTGGCTGCATTTCCGATGGAGGTGGAAATGTTGTAGGCCCGTGTGCTCAGATATGGGCGCATGTTAAGGAACCCCCCGTGGTCGAAATCTTTGGAGCTATCCACTATGGCGTCTCTCATAATCATATCGTGGTTTTGGGACGTTAAGCCCCACATATCAATCACCATTAGCTGTAGTATGTGTATGACTGCCACCTATGATGCGAAAATGTCCACATGTTAACCTAACAGAATTGTGCATCATATACAGCAACGCTTCCTTTCAAAAAGTGTGACTATCAAAGGTCTACTAAAAGTAAAACAAAGCAAAAGGCCACAACACCGCAAAAGGCATATGCCCACCAATCAACCAAAATACATAATCGAAACAAAGCTAGACAAGAAGAAAATGAAAGGCTGTTAACCAAAACGAAAGAGAAAGCAACAATTCATTATCACATGCACGCTGTTTTGACCCAACAATGTCAGGAAGGCCATCCCTACGAATTGATTCCTTGAGCTAGCAATTTCGGACACCTTCTAAGGAATAATCGTATTTCTTGTTAAATCTATAAGGACTTTTGTAATGCTCCGGAAATGTCCTATTACGCAGCTTGGTTGAAGGCAACACTTAGTGATCACGCTCTTTTAACTACAAAGGCTGTAAAAACAATAATTTCGGCTATTTGCTGTCTTCTCTATTTAAGACTGGCTTGCTTTTCTTCTGGCCCGAGCCATGAGGCCAGCAGTTCTGCAACGCCAGATTGTTATATGCTGAATACCATGGGATATTAGTGTTTGTTTCGTAAGAGTTAAGGATAAGCCCCGATATCGCAATGCATTGAGTGACTGCTGCTCCTTGAAACAACAGATAAGTTTTGTCTTGTAGTGCACATAAACACACCATATTTACGCTCACTGCGTGCCTTCACTGAGCGAAGTTTCCATGGGAAATAACCAGGAGCCTTAGAGACGATTACAGCAAAAGCAGTACTTATAAATAGGGAAAGGCATTACAAGTTTAGTATTTCGTAACCTGTGTGATGAAGATATTCAAGGCTCGTTTGAGTGTTTTGAGTCTTTCTGTCATGCCGTTTATATGATAGCTCGAAAGTGACAAAAACATTTGGCCAAACAGGGCGCTGATTGAAAGAACGGAAGTAAAGCATAACTATAATTCTGTAAAGAGTGCCCGCGTAGATCTACTGAAAATAACACAAGAGTATTAAAACGAGAAAAATTAAGCATGCAACCAACCACCTCAGCCACCTGATCGCTCAGGTCTCTCTCAATTCTACGCACTAATCTTTGGCCTTTTACTAAAGATTACCGTTACTTACTTTTTACTAAAGATACGCCACGGGAACGGCTGCGTCAGCAGCACGGGTAAGTGATCTCTGCACATATCTACCTATAACTTTAGCAATTTTGGTTCTAGGAGGATCAGAGTGATGTCTATTTGTTCGTGAAGATACAAGGAGTTCAACCGCTACAAATACTGCTATTACAAACAAAAATTTTAAATTTTAGGAACGGAAAACAGTGTGAATCTGTGAAAACAACAACAGTCGGACCACGTGTTTTTACAATCGCTTGTAGCCTCGTTAATATTCTACCGGGAAACTTCTTACTTTAAGTCCTTAGGGTAGACCTGACGCTACTGAAGTTGATCAGGCTAGGTTTAATAGTTCCAGAGTTATTGCGCAATCAAAATTAAGCCTAATCACTAAAAAGATAAATTGGTAATATCACCTCGCAAACGCATTTAACTTTTGTCCGCTTATTATAATCATAAACCGCACCCATAGGCTACCAGGAGGCCCAATTTTATATACTCTAGGCCCTTAATTAAGGTGGTAATCAGCAAAAGCTCATTTCATTAAAACAAATTTTCAAAAGGAGCTACAAACGCCACCAAAATGAGCTAATATCTTCTTATAGAACACGACAGTCGGGTTTTTTCCGTGTAAAAATAATTTTGATAGCTTAAGGTAACCGGAAGATACAGAGTTAGAAAGAATATAACGAAAACCGCTAATAAACGTGTGGCGCCGCGTCTTCCCTCGCTCAGAGGAGGAGGGTGGCTCACTGCTCGGGAGAAAGGTACGCTCAGATCAAAGTCTTGAACCACGTGTTTTTTTTCCTTACGATCGCTTTTAACTTTGCTAATAACCTACCGGGAAACTTCTAACTCATACAGTGCAATCCCTAATTGTAGACCTTTCGCCGCTCAGGTTTCATCAGGACAGGAGTAATAGTACCGGAACTATTTTGTGACCAAAATTAAGCCTAATAACTAAAAGATTAAATTGGTAACATCATCTCACAAACGAATAGAAATTTTGTCCGCTTAATATATTAATAAACAGCACCCCGTAGGCTAATCGAGGCCAAACTCCGTACTCTCTAGACCCTTAATTAAGGGGGTAATCAGCAGAAATCTCTTTTCATTTTTATGAAAATTTTTATAAATATTTTTATAAAAATAACCACAAACTTGACTGATACACCGCTGAAACCTACACTTAGAACATAACAATCCGGGTGCGGCGATGGCGTAGTGGTTTGAGCATCCGCCTTGCATGCAAGAAGTCCGTGGTTCAAATCCCGGTGCCGCGCAGTTCCCAACCGGAAAAAAAATCCGCGTGTTGATGGAACTGCATTAAGAGGCCTGGGGCGCGGCCGCACCGGTAACCACCGCCGGGAACGCACTCCCTCACCAGAGAAGGATTGGCCACCCTGGTGCAGTATCTGCCACTACCTCCCACATGCATACGTCAAATAACTCACGGCCCTCAGTTCCCAGTAGCTGCGAAGCAACTGACCATGGCGGCGGTCAGATCTGCAACGCAGCAGACGGTGCTCAGAATCTCTGGAATACAGGCCGCCATTGGAACCTGAACTTGGAAACGTTTAACGCTAGAATCTTATCTAGTGAGGGAAGTCTAGCTGTACTATTCGAGGAGCTAGATGGTGTTAAATGGATATAATAGGGTTCAGTGAGGTTAGGAGGACAGATGAGGCCTACACTGTGCTACAGAATGGGCACGTCCTTTGCTATCGGGGCTTGGCAGACAGAAGAGAACTGGGAGTGGGGTTCCTATTTCACAGAAACATAGCTGGCAACATAGAGGAATACTATAGCAATAATGAAAGGGTGGTAGGTATTGTAATTAAACTGAATAAAAGATAGAAGATGAAGGTAGTACAGGCTTACGCGCCTACATCAAGCCATGATGACGCTTCAGTTGAAAGCTTCTATGAAGACGTGGAATCGGCAATGAGTAAGGTAAAAAAAACACAGTATACTATAGTGATGGGCGACTTTAATGCAAAGGTAGGGAAGAAGCAGGCTGGAGACGAGGCAGTAGGAGATTATGGCATCGGCACTAAAACGCCAGAGGAGAGCTACTAGTAGAATTCGTGGAACGCAATAATTTGCGGATTTTGAATACCTTCTACCGCAAACGATAAAATCGCAAGTAGACATGGAGGAGCCCTAATGGCGAAAATAAGAACGAAATAGACTTTATAATGACTGCACACCCAGGAATCGTGCAGGATGTGGAAGTGGTTGGCAAGGTACGATGCAGTGACCATAGAATGGTACGGTCTCGAATTCACCTAGATTTGAAGAAGGAACGATAGAAACTGATACGCAAGAAGCCAATCAATGAGCTAGCACTGAGAGGGAAAGTACAGGAATTCAGAGAGTCGCTGCAGAACAGGTACTCTGCTCTTAGTGAGGAAACCAACCTTAGCGTAGATACAATGAATGATAATCTGACGAGTATCATTACGGAGTGTGCAGTGGAAGTTGGAGGCAGGGTAGTTAGACAGGACACTGGCAAGCTTTCCCAGGAAACGAAGAACCTAATTAAGAAGCGTCAAAGCATGAAAGTGTCATGTACAACAGACAACATAGAACTGGCAGAGCTTTCGAAGCTGATTAATATACGTAAAGTATGCGATGTAAGAAGGTATAACATGGAGAAATTGAACACGCTCTGAAAAACAGAGGAAGCGTCAAAGCAGTGAAGAGGAAATTTGGAATAGGCAAAAGTCGGATGTATGCACTAAGGGACAAAGAAGGCAAAATAACTACCAATATGGATATGTACAGAGATCTGTAGAGAGATCTATACAGAGATCTGTACAGTAGCCGAGACAACCACGACCTTAATACTATAAGAACTATCAGTAACCCGGATGACACCCCACCAGTATGATAGAAGAAGTCAGAAAAGCTTTGGAGAGCATGCAAAGAGGCAAAGCTGCTGGTGAGGCTCAGGTAACATCAGATCTGCTGAAAGATAGAGGACAGATTGTGTTAGAAAAACTAGCCACCCTGTTTACGAGGTGTCTCCTGACGGGAAGGGTACCAGAGTCTTGGAAGAACGCTAACATCATCTTAATACATAAGAAAGAAGATGACAAGGACTTGAAGAATTACAGGCCGATCAGCTTGCTCTCTGTAGTACACAAGCTATTTACGAAGGTAATTGCTAACAGAGTAAAGAAAACATTAGAATTCAATCAACCAAAGGAACAAGCAGGATTTCGAATAGGCTACTCAACAATTTTCGAACAGGCTACTCAAACAATTCACCACATTTATACTATCAGTCAGGTAATAGAGAAATGCTCAGAGTATAACCAACCACTATACATAGCCTTCATAGATTACGAGAAGGCGTTTGATTCAGTAGAAATATCAGCCGTCATGCAGACACTGCGGAATCAGGGCGTAGATGAAGTATATATAAACATTCTGGAAGAAATATACAGGGGATCAAGTGCTATCATAGTGCTTCATAAAGAAAGCAACAAAATACCAATCAAGAAGGGTTTAAGGCAGGGGGAAACAATCTCCCCAATGCTATTACCGCGTGCTTACAGGAGGTTTTCAGAAGCCTAGAATGGGGACAGTTAGGGATAAGAGTTAATGGAGAATACCTTAGTAACCTGCGCTTCGCCGATGACATTGCATTGCTGAGTAACTCAGGGTACGAATTGCAACTCATGATTACGGAGTTAGACAAAAAAGAGCAGAAAGGTGGGTTTAAAATTAATCTGCAGAAAACGAAAGTAATGTACCACAACCTCGGAAAGGAGCAGCGCTTCGATCTAGGTAATAGTGCACTTGAAGTTGTAAAAGACTATGTGTATTTAGGGCAGGTAATAACCGCAGAGCCTAACCACGAGATTGAAAGTAACTAGAAGAATAAGAATGGGGTGGAGCACATTCAGCAAGCACTCTCAAATTAAGACAGGTAGATTGCCACTATCCCTCAAGAGGAACGTATATAACAGCTGTATCTTGCCGGTACTTAGCTACGGAGCAGAAACTTGGAGACTTACAAAGAGGGTTCAGCTTAAACTGAGGACGACGCAGCGAGCAATAGAACGAAAAATGGTAGGTGTAACCTTAAGGGACAAGAAGAGAGCAGAGTGGATTAGGGGACAAACGGGGGTTAAGGATATCATAGTTGAAATAAAGAAGAGGAAATGGACATGGGCCGGGCATGTAGCGCGTAGACAGGATAACCGCTGGTCATTAAGGGTAACTAATTGGATTCCCAGAGAAGGGAAGCGGGTTAGGGGGAGACAGAAGATGAGGTGGGCAGACAAGATTAAGAAGTTTGCGGGTATAAATTGGCAGCAGCAAGCACAGGACCGGGTTAACTGGCGGAACATGGGAAAGGCCTTTGTCCTGCAGTTGACGTAGTCAGGCTGCTGCTGATGTTGATGATGATGACCACCTCAGAAGTGGCAGGTACAAGAAAATTTGAAGACTTGCAGTTTACCAGAATTACTATATCGATGTGTTCGATGTGTGTTGAAAAGAAACTTGAAAGACAAATTTGTCTGTGGCAACTGCTCTAACCTGCAAGCACTTCATGTGCAACTCCAGAGTACATGTAAGAAAAAAAGACCTTAGAGGTGGATATTATGGCAGTTTTCACTTTTCACAAGATGCAGAAGAGCTTGGCCACAGAGGGTGCAACCCTAATACTTAGCTGAGAATCATTAGACTGAATATTTTTACGGATAGTTTTTTATAATCAAGAAAATTTGAGAGTCAATCTAGAGATCAAATTTTGCCTTAGGTTGGAATCACTGCTTATCATTCACATTCACTCCGTGATTCGGCGAGGAGTTTCTCTTTTCTGATGGTTTGTTTGATTGTCTATCTTTTTCCTGTTTTTTTACATATCTTTTTGCCCTAATTCCTGAGCGTACTTAACCTTACTAGAAGTCATATTATCTCAATCACGTGACTGCTGCGATGTGAGATCTCATTCAGAATATAAAAGTAACCCTATTTGGTACATGTATGTTAAAGTAAATCATTGCAGTATAGACTGACAACATGACGGAAAATTGAACCCCGGCAGCATCAACTGCACCATGCGTTCATTCGGTGCCTCCTTTTTCTTTGATTGATAAGGCGGAAGTAGGGTTCAGCTGTCCATCCATCCGCCCATACATAAATCCGTCCGTCTATCCATCGTTCTGTTCATCCGTCCGGTCTTACAACGCTAGAGTACGCATATGGATGGACGGACGTTTCGCCCCCCTCATCATCATTCACTGCTTGAGTATGCCTAAACTTGAGATGAAATGCGTACCGCGAAGATAAATTTATGAATATAGTCTCTCTATGATATAGGTATTCGATATTATTTTATACGCTGAAATATTACTCCACGAATAAAAAGTTTAAGGGCAGCGTACAGTCAGTTTTGTTTGTATTCATCACAGCTTTGGGAATTCGCAGATTTTTTGTATTACTGTGGTTCGTGAAGACTGCCTTATTTTCGCCATAAAACATGCTTCAGTATCAAAAGTAAGTTTAAAAAAAGCAAGCTCTCCTTATAACATACTTTTAGAAAACATACAAATGGTGCCAAAGAGAACTGAGGCTCGTTTTTTTTTACTTTGCACACAAACAATTGCTATGCTTTCTTTTTGTACGTCTAGGTTAAAGTAACGTCTCAGAAATCTCAGATTTCTAGCGCAACTTGCTCTGACTTCATCGCAAAGTATGACTACCTGAAGTTCACGGCTGGTAAGTCGTTTAAAAAAAGATGAACAAGGAAAACAAACGGATACGTCGTTGAGCCGTGATAACTCAGGGTGCGAAACAGCGTCGGCAGAGTTAAGTGAATCCGGTTGCGGAAAACAAGAAGTTGACCAAGCTCAAGGTAACAAGACGGATTGTAGGTGGAGAATATATCATGACAAGGAAGGCAGGGTGAAGGGTCTTGGGAAAGAAGCGTGTGCAGAACGAAAAGAGAACAGCAGCACTTCAAGAGATCTGGCACTGAGAGACACTTTTCGCTTTTTTGTATCGGCAGGATTTGCGGAAGTGTTGCGAAAACAAAGAAGAAATGTTCCACGGAAAGCACAAACATACGATGCGGTGTTTTTTTTTTTTTGAGAGATATAGACAAATCAGTGCATTCTGCTCTGTTCTTTATGTTTTTCTTCTATATGAGAATTGAAGACGGAAATAGAGCGTTGATCACAAAATTTGTTACAGAAAACAAGCACTTCCTAGAATATATAAATGTCGAAGCGTCATGAGTAATGTAAAAATTTCGTTTTGTCGTACATGCCTTAAATACTAAAGTGTCTCTTTATAAACTCTAATTTTGTGTATTCAGGTTTCTGTCAAAAAGACTATTACCTGAAGGAAGCTTTCCTGCTTCCACGCAAAATTGATAGGCGAATTTCTTTTGCTTCTGAAAACAAACCTGCCGTATGAATCTTTTTCACATGCAAATAACAGAATCGTTATTTGCACTCTTATAAAACACTCATCAATTAGAAAATTAGACTGTCGATACCACACTTGATATGACATACCATGATTTTATGAAAAGGCTAATTTTTCTGTATTGCTTTTCGCATTAAAAATGTGGCTTCTCAAGACAATATCACGCTAATTCAGAGCACACAATGATGCCTTCAAGAGACGCACTTCTAGAAGACTGTTACGTTGTGATATCACAAAACGTGAATGCTTTTTCTGCATAGCTGTAGATTTTTTTCTTATTTTAAACATTGCTGTACACTTCTCTTGATCTTGTATATTTGCGTTGTTGTAACCCTTCTTGTTTGGGTTCGGGTAGGCCGGTAGTATCACGTGGCTTTAAATATGATTTTCTGTCGACACAAGGAGGAAAGAGTCAAGAGTTGTCTTCTCTTTGCGGTCTTTGAAAACAACCGCGATGACGGCGCGACTTTGCGGACCATAAAATGACGTATGGTCCCCTGGGTGGGCTTCGTCGTGCTTACCGCCACAACTTGTGGACAGGCGCGTGTTTGCAGTTTGATGAGCTGATGAAATAGTGCGGCAGGAAAGACAAAATTGAATGAACGTAAAAAGAAGGCTGAGCCGTGTTCTGTGGTGCCATAGGTGTGTTATAACATGGCCGCCACTTGAGAGAGCAGGAGACGAACGACTGAGCCCAACATCAAAAAAATAATACATAAATTGGGTGAAAGTGTTCTTAATAAGAAAGGAACAATTTCAGTGAGAAAACAAAATGTAGGTCTTCAGGGATGCATATGATGGTGTCGTGTTTGCCCTTCTGGTGGCAATCACAAACACAAAAACCAAAGTTGACTCGTATATTAGCGCATGTAGGAGGAAGGCGCTCGGAACGCAAAAAGCGAAAGACGTACACATAACGCGAGTGGGAAAGTGGAAGCACAAGTTATCTGTAGAAGCCACAAGGCGCATGGTAAAGTGCAAAAAAAAAGGAGGAATTGAAAGCAATAACCTTTTCGTTATGCTGGTAGTTCAGAGCACAAAATCAAAAGAATTAGTTTTCCTTCACGAGAGTTAGTTTGACTGTTGCTTACCTCGCTGGTGCTACTAGTATGGCTAACCCAGTATTGTGGTGTGAGAAGCCTCATATGCGTACGAGCCTGTGCTTTTAAATGCGAAGCATTTCTTAGCGAACCTTGGCGACTTTGAGCGTATCTATCTATCTAACTAGCCGCCTACGACATTTAGCTCTACGGGCCGTTTCGATAATGATATTGATACCAAACTTTATATTTTTATTTATTTATTCAAAATACCTTACATACCCAACAGGGCATTGCGTAAGCGTAGCAGAAAAAGAAATACATACACTAATTGGTACAATTTTGATACAAACAATAACATGAACTAATTGTCAATTATTATACAAGTCCTAACAGAATATGGCATAACATAATGGTATTGTAACGACGGTAGTGGACATGGAGCTCGAGGATAGAAAAAGAAGAAGACTTGCTGTGATCGCAGGCTTGCGTTCAGTTAGCCCTTGCGCTAAATAAAGCTCTCCTTCGCCGAGTTCGCCTGCTTGTTCAACAACTCGTTTCAAGTGGTGGGAGTGCTGGGTACATCTGGTCCTCACCCTGGAACTTCGCAGCCGCACACTCCAACGACCTCCTACAATGACTGATCCGGGGCCATCTCATGCTGCTACTCCAGATCTCGCACCTGTGCCTGTCTTCTGCGCTGGCGCTCTCCGGCAGCGCGACCCCCCATATTCGGTGGCACAGAGGACCAAGATGTGGACAACTGGATTGCCGAGTATGAACTGGTGAGCGCCGTCAATAAGTGGAACGCAGCCGATAAGCTCACAAATGTGAGTTTTTACCTGACCGACATGGCAAAACTATGGTACAGAAATCATCAAAGTGATTTCAGTACTTGGTCGGAATTGGCGAAAACCCTCGCGGAAGTCTTTGGCCGTCCTGCTGTCCGCCGCCTTCGTGCTGAACAGCGCTTGCGGGGCAGAGTACAGAGAGCAGATGAAACTTTCACGAGCTACATCGAAGATGTGCTATTTCTCTGCAAGCTCGTCGATTCGACTCTGGACGAGGCAGGCAAGATCAAGAACATCATGAAAGGAATCGACGACGGTGCATTCCAAATGCTGGCTGCGAAGAGTCCCCAGACGGTCGCCGAGGTGATTCAGCTCTGCCAAAGCTATGATGAGCTGCGTAGGCAGCGCGCTTCCACACGTTGCGCTGCTCAAGACACCGCGGACATCTCATCCCTCGACTATCGCAATGACACCGCCGACCACTCTGCGTTGATGCCAGTCATAAAGCAATTCATACGCGAGGAGGTCGCCCGGCAGCTATCTACAATCACAAGACCTACCGAGCCGATGGCACCCTTGTCGCCTTCGCTTCGCCAGGTAATTCGATCGCAAGTTGCCGAAGCATTGCCGCCAGCTCAGGCTCCCCCAACTGTTACCGCACCACTAACGTATGCAGCCGCAGTTGCTCAACCACGTGCGCCAGCGTCTCCGGCCATCTACGAAGCTACTCGCCACGTTTATTCGTCGACCCCACCTTCCCGCTCGCTGACCGTCCCGTCTCCGGCTGTATATGAAACAGGTCAGAACGTTATATGACGCCGCCGCCTGCACGACCATTTACGGTACCTTATTCAGCGAACAGTGCCCCTATCGTCAGCCAATGGCGCACTCCAGATAATCGGCCGATATGTTTTTCATGTGGCATCCCAGGCCACGTAGCTCGTCACTGCCGTCGTCGCAGCTTCTCTTCTCACGACATTGCAGGGGCCTCACATTACATGCCCACCATGCCCACTCAGCCGCGATATCCCGTTCCTGCCAATCCACCTCTAGACGTACGTCCCGGTCGCCGACCATCCGGCGCAAGCCGTTCACCTTCTCCTCGTCGTCGATCTATTTCTCCGATGTTACGTCGCAACAGCCCACCGCGAGGGGAAAACTGACGGGCGCAGTTCCGGAGGCAAGAACTGCGTTGGCAGCGAAAATTTCAAGACCTAACTGCTGTCCCCCGAACGAAATCGAACTCCATATTGATGGCATTAAGGTGCACGGACTTGTTGACACTGGAGCTGCCGTATCTGTAATTAGCGAGAAACTGTGCCGAAACTTGAAGAAAGTGACCACACAACTTACCGACCTAACTTTGCAGACACCTACGTCCCATCATATTCAGCCTTCAGCTTTGTGCACCGCACGAGTCGTCATTCAAGGTGTGATGTACGTCGTCACATTTGTAGTTTTATTCCGTTCTTCGCATGACGTTATCCTTGGGTGGGACTTTCTTTCGTCAAATTCTGCTTTGGTCGACTGTGCTCGTTCTGAACTCGCGTTGTCTGTGCCGTGCTATGACCCCGACGATGGTGCTTCGTGTGGAGTGTTTGCTGCTTCTGACGTTGACATTGCGCCTTTCTCAGCTGTTGTTGTCTCGGTGTCGTGTGCCTCCCCTCCGAAATCGCCTGTGTTGTTTATGCCATCGGTCCCATCTGCGTGCCGTCGAAATATCATGCTTCCGTTTGCCGTCGTCGTTTTTCGCAATGGTCACGCTGCCATTTATGTGTGCAATCCGTCGCACAGCCCGTCATCCCTACTACGTGGAGAATGCCTGGGAAGCTACGAACTTTACGAGTGCATTCTTCCGGCTACTATACCCGATTCTGCGGTTTCGCTCCCAATTGGTGCTGTCACTCCTACCAACGCGCCTAATGATGCTCTGGACGTATTCTCGGATGCCATCGACTCTGAGCTCGCACCAACTCAGCGCGAAGAGATTATAAATCTTCTTCTCCGCTTTCGTTCTTCATTCGATCGTGACCAGTCAGGCTTAAGCCGAACCTCTGCGGTCGTTCACCGTATTGACACCGGTCAACAAGCCCCGCTAAGGCAGCGTCCGTACCGTGTGTCATCTGCTGAACGCCGTGTCATCGACGAACAAGTGGACGACATGTTGAAACGTGGCATCATCGAGCCCTCCAACAGTCCCTGGGCTTCACCGGTTGTTCTCGTCAGGAAAAAAGACGGATCCATCCGGTTCTGCGTTGACTACCGCCGACTCAACAAGATATACGCGCAAAGACGTATACCCTCTGCCGCGCATCGATGATGCTTTGGACTGCCTACAAGGAGCAGAGTTCTTTCTTCGTTAGATTTACGCTCTGGCTACTGCAGGTGCCCATGGCAGAGGGTGAACCGCCCGAAGACAGCTTTGTAACACCGGATGGACTATATGAATTCACCGTTA